TTGTCTTTGTCCACAGTTGAATAACGGAAGAGATTTTCGTTTTGTAATCTATCGGTATTACATTTTATTCAGCCAAGTGAGAGTTATTCCACTTTGTAGTGTGTTACTGTGCCTCATTATTAAACTACCTTATTGGATATTTGTTTCATTCGGTTGAAGAATGATTGTTTATCTTCCTAAGTAGATCAGCTGTTGATGGAGCTTATTTCCATATTTCTGTTTAGTAATTTACTAAGTTATTTTATCTACATATCATGACCAATTTTAATTAATGTTCAACATTTGTCTTTGTAATTACTTAAAGTATGTTTAAACCGCATCAATTCAGCTTCTGGGCAGTTGACAAGATACCGAAGAAACTAAGTGAATCTGTTTTATCCTGCTCCATGTGTTGTTATTGCCTCGCTAAGATTAAGGTATTACTACGAAAACAGAGGCAAACTAGCAGGACCATGGTATGACAAGATACCGAACAGACCTTTTCTACATACAGAGCTCGGGTTATACCGATGAATCACCAGCGTCACCCCCCCCCCCAAACAAAAGTGCCGAAACATAAAATCCCTTGTATCATTTAACCTTAAGTTATAGATAATTTAAAAAGAATACCTCAATGGAGTTGAGTGGCTTGAGTTCACCAGGTGAAAGGAAATTTAGCTAGTAATTGTCTCTTGATAACCATTCAGGACAATATCCTGAGATGCGTTTGAAAGGTGTGTGCTTTGTGTGCTCAATATAACTAACTCCACAGAATCATGTGAATTTACTAATAGTGACTGCTGGATTTCATCACGAACCAAAATCAGTTAGAGAGACCATTGGAAATCAGCTGTCTCGTTCTAGTTTGGGATTCTTCAGCAGAGCGCAACCACGACTACACCAAACAACGAACTTAGGACCTTCAGATTACAAGATCGATCTCGTTGGCCATTCAGCTATTTGGGTTATAATTCAATGACCCATGAATTCCAACTTTGTCACTTTGTGATGAGGCACTACTTTCAACCAACGCCATCATCCACTTCACCTCGGTTCATAATAAAATCCAACAATCAAAATTAAATCAATCCAAATCCCTAAAAATCCCATAACCTCAAACTAGTAACGCTCACTGAAGTGTCACAACGCAGTAGTTTGTCCTTCACACATCTATTGAGCATTTGTTGACTTTCGCTGATTATTGAGTGATTTATTTTTGGTCGTAAGAAACTACCTCTGATTTAATTGTATCAGTTATGTCCGAATTTGTTCAATTTTCGTTGATATAAGAATAAAACTTGGGCACTGTGGTAGAGTGTAATTCCATTATGGGTGAATTTTATTTTGATAGAGTCTCACAGTGTTATACAGTAATATTTACCAATCAAATCAAGTGGAAATCAAGTGAAAAACAATGGAACTATATAAATGAATTTAGGAAGTCGTGTGATTACCTTGATATGATTATGAGCAATAGTTTGTGCTCGAAACGTCATCAGTAAATATTACTGTATAACACTGTGAGACTCTATCAAAATAAAATTTACCCATAATTGAGTTGTTCAATTTTCAATAATTTCAGGTTTGAACAGTAAATTTATAGTTATATACGACGTTTATTAGTGGTATTATCAAATAATTGCACTACTTCATGAGATTTACCATTTTGCCAGGCTGTATATTGACCTCATTGTTATGCATTTGTATTCCTACCACGGGGGATTTTCTCAGATGTTAAACTAAACTTCATATTCACACATAATTTTTTTAATATAAGTGTAAAACTTGGGCACTGTGGTAGAGTATAACTCCATTATAGATAAGATTTTATTTTGATAAATCACACAGTGTTGTAGAGTAATATTAACTGATGACCACGTTTCGAGCACAATTTATTGCCACTCACAATCATATCAAGGCACTCACACAACTTTTTTACTTCATTTATATACATGAGTGAAATTGATTAGATATTCGATTAAAAATCAGTATAGGATAATATACATTCAGAAATAATATAAGTGTTATCAATCAAATACAGTCAGATGGGAAATAAGACGAGTGTTTTATAGTAAAAATAAGTAACTTGTTAGAATGTATTTGAATTGAAATAGAATTTTGAGATCATTTATTATCCTCCTCTGATTTGACTGACTAGTGGTAATAATATCTTCCATATCTCTGGTATTTGCGTTGAGTCATTTCTGTTGCATGTGTTGGGTTGGGTGTAGACTCAGTGAACCAGGATTCAGTAATCAATCTCTCTCTCCACCTACCTATATTACTTCTTAGAATCTTAACCCTCTCCCACCCTATTGTGTGGTTTTGTGTTAATGCATGCAGTGCAATTGCTGAGCTTTTTTTTTTCAATCATTCTTACCTTCGCTAAGTTCTTATGTTCTGACACTCTGATTACTCTTGATCTACTAGTTTGTCCTATGTAGTTGACCTCACAGTCATTGCAGGGTATTTTGTAAATTATGTTATTTTGTCTAATTGGGTCAACTCATAGGGTCCTTTACCCTCCGGAGCTTGTCTCTGAGTGAGTTTGTAGGTTTGAATGCCACCCTAATTCCTGCTTTATTGAGAATCCTACGTAGGGTCTCAGATGTCCCCTTCTTATATGGTATAACTGTAGATGCCTTATATTCTCTCCTATTTAAGTCATCATTATTAGTTTCGACATTATTTTTCTTTTTCTTTTGGCCTTTTCCTATCTTCCTAATGAATTTTATAGGATAGTTATTTAACACCGACCAGCCATTCTTCTATCTGTTTTATTTCATCATTTAGGACTTTTCTTGTACTGCTTAGTTCTACTGCTCGGTTTGTTAGACACTTAACTAAGCCTGCCTTAACAGATAACGAATGAGATGAATTAAAGTCTAAATATCTATTAGAATGCGTTGGTTTTTGATTGGACCGAAGTGCTTGAATCGAGCCTCGGTGGGAACATCATCACTCACTGCAGAATGCAAGTACATCCAGATGACAAGTCCCAAATAGGACGAAATGCGCATCCTGGACTCCACTTCTAGTCACTATCCACCAATTTTTTAAACCTTATTTTACCACAAATTGTTTTCATCGTGCATATCACTTTTTCATATGCATATTTCAGAACGTGCACTGCAATCCTCATGTCAAAATTTCATATAACAAATGAATATGAAAACCGCTAAGGGTAGAAATTAAATTAATGTATGTGTAAACTGTTGTTGTATACGGTTTCATATTAGTTTGTTTTCTTCGGATATATCATATGGTAAAACAGTATTATTTACTGGACAACGTATGGAACACAATTTATTGTTCACAATCATATAAATTAAAATTGTACAAATTCAGTTTTGTAGTGCCGTTTATTCGTTCTTATTCGTCGTAGGAGTAGTAGAATTTCCCAGACTTACGAGACAGGTGTTGAATTATACCTATTGCATATATTTCCAGCTGACTCGACAAGTAAAGCTTCCGTTATCAATCTCTCCATCTATCCTGTTATCTTAGATTTTAAGACTGTCATCTTACACCATAATATTTTATGGTTGTGTATAACTGAGTGTAGTACTGTATCTGAGTCATTTTCTATATTTCTCATCTTATTAGGGTCAACTTATCTAGATTTTATTGGGACCCTGTGCTCTGCTAGTCTGATCTACCCCGCTTTACTACTCTGACTTATGTATATGACCTGATAATCACTATAGGTTACAATAGATAGACTAAATTATTATAGTTTTATGGGCTCCACAGGACCCTTAAAGTGACATAATTTGTTTGTGGGCCTGAAAGCCACTTCTATTTCTGCATTGTTAAGTTTTCTGAATAAGGTTTAAGAGGTCCCCGCTTGTATGGAAGCATTAATGGTGTTTTAAATTCCTTATTGTTGGTGTTGTCATCTTTCTGTGTAATTCTGACATATGTGTCATACTTATTATAATAATAATTATTGTTAATTTCACTGGTTGGAGGATTTCATCATGAGCTGACGTCAGTTAGAGAACCACTGGAAAACCAACAGGGAGTACTAGACAGCTGTTTTGTCAGACTACTTTAGGACTCTTCACCGGTACGCACCCACCACCACGTTTCGAACCCAGGACCTTCTGCTTATAAGGCTAGTGAGCTCGTGGACCATTAGGCCACTTGGACCAGAGCTAACAGTCGGCCCATGAATTCTAACTTCTGCCAATTCATGACATAGCGTGACTATTTCGCAATGTCTTCTTCGATGAGTTACTGCCTCACCTTCAACCGGACGCACCCTACTGCTCACGACTTCCCACTAGAACCCCAGGTAACTGCCTGAATAGGGCCAATCTCTAGTGAACATCAGATTAATTTCCAAGTGTTATGTATACGAGCTCGCCTTGTAACAAGAAGGTCCAGCGTTCGAACCCTGGCTGTGGGTGCGTACCGATGAAGAGTCCCAAACTGGGATGAAACAGCTGTCCAGTACTCCCTGGCAGGTTTTCTAATGGTTCTGTAACTGATGTCAGCTCATGATGAAATCCTCCAACCAATCAAACAAAATTCCCTACAAAACCAATACTTGAAAATTATTAATTTCACTTTTACATTTTCCTACATACTTCTTGACCAATTTTTCAGAGCGAATATCAAGTTTCAAAGATTCTCTCTTATATGTCCTAATTCTTGCCTTAGATTTTCTTTGATATTGCTTAATTATTTTTACCCGATTACTTAAGAATTTCCTCATTCCTAATTCTTCTGACCTAGGGTGAACTGAACCAAAATCCAAATATTGGTTTGAATGTGTAGGTTTTCTGTAAATACTAGTGTTTAACTTCCCATCTTCTTTCCTTTTTATGCTAAAATCTCATATTTGAGGCTCCCCTTCATGACTTCCTAATTCGTTAGTGAATTAAATCGCTTCTATCATTTGAGTTCATGTGTTTAAAAACAACAAATTCTGAATAAAAACAAAGTCAATTCAAATGTGAAAAAGTATGTATCTCCGAATTCACAATATATTATATTCATAATAGTAATACTCATAATCAAATCATCGGTTCAATTACTTGAGCTGCCAATAATGGCATGGCTAATTGTTGATCATATATAAAACAGACAAATGGTTGATTCACATGAAAATCGATCTCTGATCTAATAAATGAAACTGGTACTAATATAGGCGAAGTAACAGCCGCTGCTTCAACACCACTCTCATCCACTTTTAATGTATTCGACTGAAGAAATGCATTTATATGTAGCGTTTTGTTTGGTGAAATTCCTGAAAAAGAAATAATAACAGTTTGGCAAGTGGATGAATATTTAAGAATTATCAAAGATGCGATTATTCCAGAGGAAATTCTTAATCAAAACTGATGTCATCAGCATGATGATGAAATGTTATCTGGGATAACATTCAATTTTCGGTCAGTAGTTGCAAGCAAACCAACATAGAACCATTTTCAAAGAGTTAGTCTGAAGTACTAATTACACTGCGTGAGTGATTGATGTCACGGTGGATTGTTACTTGTTCATTCTCTACAAAATAATGATCAAGTAATCTAACCTGTGTGCGTCGGTGGCACAGCGGTAGAATGCTCGCCGACCACGCCACATGTGGTCTAGGGTTCGATTACCGGTCGACGCACTCCTTCACCACTCTAAACTGGTAGTACGGCCGGCAAAGAGAGAAGGTTGGGCATGAGGTTAGCAATCCCATTCCGTAAAAATAAACACCACTGCTACCGAAACTTCAAGTCTCTAGCTTGAAGCCCTAGATTCCACTGGGAACGTAAAAAGAATAAGAAAAGTCTAACTAGTGACCAAAACGAAACAAGATTACCAGAATACAGGTTCAGCTCACCGTAGACAACTCACTAGTCAAAACTTCTTTCACCGTGGTATCAAGCATGTCTTTATTAAGAATAGATGTAACATTAGAGGAGTGATTCCCTCAAAATTCAGAGATACCATCTGCAATCCTCTTCGATATGCTCATTTTGATCAACTGTCTTTTGTGAGATAACAAAAGGTTTCTTAATTATTCATAAATCACCTAATTCATGAAAATGCTATGGAAACCTAACGAATATCTCTCATTCAAAGAGCTTTTGTTTTACCAACTATGGCCATAATGTTAAGTTATAAACTTACATTATTCAACCTACAAAATCTGAAACAGTATTCAATTTGATTTCGTTGAATTCTCATAAAGAATTCTTGATTATAACGAGAAGAGTTATGAAAAGTTTAGGGGCTTAGAAGAGGACTAAGATTCTCCAAAAAGATAAAGTTGTAGGATATAAAGTTTTTTTCCTCAGATAGATTGCGATATAATTATTCCCTTGGATTCAGAGTAGAAAGTAGGCCTTCAACAATACATCTTCATTTCCTCTTCTCTGGGGTCCTTTTCATCTTGATTCACGACTACCCATAGGCTTTCACATTTCTTTCTCATATGACTTCATCAATATCACCCTCGAACTCTCAACTCTTTGTTGACCACCTGTTCAGGTTAGATTCGTGAGTGTGACGCGCTATTTCTCCTCAGCATGTGTTCGATCCATCTCCATTTTTCGACATATTTGTTGGGCAATAGTCTCTTGGTTGTTTCGTCTCAAAAGTTCCTTTTTGCTAATACTTTCCGGCCATCTGATCTTCACTGCCGAGCTAGCGAAGGCAATTGTTGATAAAACTCCACAATGGCCTGTTGAAAATGCTTTCGGTGACTCATAGTGCAATTCACTCAACCCCATGGAAAGGTGGACTTTACATTAGTGCCAACGTTATGAATCTTGTACCTTCTGTTGAGTGCAGCAAATCTCTATACTGATTTGAGATAAATGGAAGCCTGTCTTGCTTTTCAGATGTTATCTTTGATAACTTCATCCGTGCTAAAACAACATTGTTTAGAGAAGAGAAGCACACGAATAGATCGTAGTTGAAAGTGTCTTGTGTTCTTTATCCATTTGACTCTTTATGAAACTAGTAGGTTACTAGCTTATGTTCACTTTTCAAGTAATCTCAGCTTACATAATCACTGGACAACGTTTTTATTATGGAGTCTAAAGAAATTAGTGAGTCATCGCAAACGAAGTCATCCTAAAATCTTAATACGAACTGATAGTTATTATTACACTTTAGCTTTTTGTTCTAAAAGCCACTTGTTTTTGTCTAGCACTGATACAAGTACAGACAATGAAGATTATTACTTATTCTTAAATACCTGTTCTTATAGAGATCTTACAGTGACTGTAGCATTTAAAATACTTCCTACAAAAGAATTATCAGCTTATACATTTCAGATTCTGCAGAAAAATTCCATTGTTCAAGGTATATGCGAACTAAATGATGATAGCATAAAATAATTCTTCAATGCGACCTGTGTTTGTACAGTCGCTGACTGATTTGGCACCAATTTTTCCGCACAAGTGTGGTGTACCCATCAAGTATCTTGTTTCTCAGTAAACTGAACAGTAATACGCTCATTTCGTTCTCTTCAGAAATCATTGTAAGTATGTAGGTAATAAATAATAATTCTTATTTGGTGAACTTCACATTCGCAGCCATGAAATGAAACAAACTTTAAGGAACTCCTGGAAATCGGACAACTCTACACAGTACATTTTTTCTACTTTACGATTACTGAGGTTTTTGTAATTCTAGTTCCAAGAGCGCGTTAGCGTCTGTTTATGGGGTAGAAATCAACTAGCTTCAGCCAATCAGTGATATATCACAGTTCTCTTACAATACCTTCAATGAGTTTCTGTCATCACAATCAACTTGGATTTCAGCTGTATCATTAGACTGACTCACTCACCGAGTCTCAGCCTAGAACGTCGTGCAGAACTGCAGGAGTTCAAGTTACCGCACTTCATGTAGCACACAGAGGTGGTAGACAAAAGAGAGAAAAAACATTCAGAAGAGCTGTAATAAAAGGGAAGATTTGTAGCTCAGGTGGATGGGTGATTTGCAGTTAGTTGTGTTCTCTGAGCTGGTTGGTCTAACGGCGGAGCTTTCAGCGTCCTTCTGGACAACATCAAAAAATCAAATACATTCAAGTGGATGACAATGAAATAATGGTGTCCTTTGATGTCATAGCATTATATACTTCAATTAGTCCAAAACTAGCAAAAGAAACAATGCAACAAGTACTTACTATATAGTGATGAAAACATAAAAACGCAATGTTCAACTCGGATAGAATTCATAGAATTATGCCTTACAGCATACTTCCAATTCAGTACTCAAATATACGAACAGATAAAAGGAGCACCAATGGCATCATCGCCCATATCAGGATTAATAGCTGAAGCCGTCATGCAAAGATTGGAATTAATAGCTCTACCTATGATTAAACCGAAAATCTGGATACGTTATGTTGATGATACATTTGTGATAATTGAGAGAAATGATTTAGAATATACCCACAAATTAATAAACAAAATATTTGAAGACATCAAATTCACAAGAGAAGAAGAATTAGACAACAAAGTTCCACTTTTAGATGTCTTAATCAGGAGAATTAACGCAGGAAATTTAGAAACACAAGTATATAGAAAATCCACGCACACAGACCAAATACTCAACTACAGCAGTAATAACCCAATTACCCACAGAAGAAAATGTGTGCAGACATTGTTTAAAAGAGTTCAAAAACACTGTAACACTCCAGATCTGAATAGAACGGAGGAAAAACCGTCTTCAAAAAGAATGGAGACCCTCATAATTTCATCAAAAAGTATATAAAATCAGGTCACAAAACCAACAAGAAACCATCATCAAAGACTACAAGAAAATTCATCCCACCATATATAAAAATATCTCTGAAATAACAGCTAGAATGTTGAAACCGTTTGAGATAGATATAGCACGCAAGCCAGCCGGCACAATCACTTCATTCGATATTATGCGAACCCAAAGATCCAACATAAAAGGAGATAAAATTAATACCATTTACAAAACAAATTGTATTAACTGTAACAGACATTACACCGGTTAGATTGGGCGTTCCCTTCGAATCAGAATCCAGGAACACATATTGGCTGTGAAAAGACATGATATGTATTCCTGTTTCATATCAATGCATGTAGATTATTATGGACATCAGTTTGATTGGGATAATTTAGAAATTTTAAACAGAGGAAACACCAAAGGTGCCAGAGAATTCCTAGATGCCTGGTCTTCAAGCAAATATGTGATTAACAAACATGTTAATATAGACCAAATCTACCAACTAATAAAAAGTAAATCATGTGACGAGAAAGTTTAAAATCCAAGTCAATAAAAAATGATCAATACAGATGTAAATCGACTACCAGTCATGAAGATGGTTACCAGGAGACGCAATTCTATCACTCATGGAAAATTTAAATCAGTTTACTTTATGCTAAAAACTTGCATTGAAGGGCGATTTTGTCCAGAAGGACGAAGAAAGCTCTGCAATTAAACTAACTAGCTCACAGAACACAACTAATTGCAGAGCCATAATAGGTCAAAATCTAAGGGATGAAGAATAGTAACATGAGAACATATGAGGATTTAATGAATATGGGATGTTACAAAGAGTGAATACCACTGAGCCATTGAAAACGTTTCTGAATCATATCACCAGTAGTCTGCAATGTCCTGAGTACCTCAACCAGGCAAACTACACCTTTCAATGTAAGCTCAAACCCACTGTCAAAGATTTCATGGACTGATACCAGCTTTTGTTTTGACCATCCTAAACATTTTTACTGCGTAATCCCAAGTTAGCTAACATTTAACGATGGCTTGGCATGTGCAACATAGGTCCTAGACATCTTAGTCGATTTACCCTCGCAACCTCATTGACTAACTTCACTTCCTTACCTAGCATTCTACGCCTAACCGCAATACTGGTCACCATCTTGTAATACATAACACAGGCGACTAAACACAAACATTTGTGTTCAAAAATAGTTAACTTCTTTTCATATCATTCACTCTCAATGACCATGTCTCGCCACAAAAGCAGCCTCATTCATACTTTAGGTAATTCATGTGTAAATTAGTCACCAATGCGCAGTGGATAGAAATTAAGTTCTCTTGGGTTTGCATTGCTTGGACCAACTTCAGCCTCGATTTCATCTCCCATACAAGTGTTGTGTTACAGATAGTTTATGAATTCAGATTGTCCGTTTGCGGAGATTTGATTGGTTACAGAATTCCATCATCAGCTGACATCGGTTAGAGGACCAATGGAAAACCTGCAGGGAGTACTGAACAGCTGTATCATCCTATTTCGGGACTCTTTACAGC